AATAGGACGAAATGCGCATCCTGGATTCCACTGCTAGTCACCATCCATAAATTAAAAACGAACAATAGGTAAACTACGCACTAGCGTTCATAAAAAAGGTGATCCACTCTAACAGATATTTAGACTTCAATTCATATCATCAATTATCTGTGAAAATACACCTAACTAAGTGTCTAACCAACTAAGCAATAAATCTAAGTAGTACATTAGGAAACCAAAATGATTAAATGAAACAGATAGAAGAAGCATTGGTACTGAATAACTATTCCATAAAATCCATTAAGACCACAGAAGATCCCAAAAAGAAACAAGAAAAGTAGTAGTGGGACTGTTAACCATAACATGAATAAGAAAGAATTTAAGACATCTACAGTTTTATAATATAAAGTGGCATTTAGATCTATAAACCTGAAACGTCACCAATAAATAAATAATGTATCACTGTGTGCTTTTTATCAAATAAATTTACTCTCTGATAGAATGTAAAGTCTTCCTTTTATTGTAATAAACCTGCATTTTGTTACGTCATGTAGACTGTTAAACAAACTCTATACATGCAAATGCCTTAAACTGGTACAATTCAGTGACACAGAACTAACCATTTATCTCTTTTTTAGATGATGAAATATATATATATATATACATATATTCATTCATGTTCCCAGTGGTACATAGGGCCTCAAGCTAGAGGCTTAAAGTTTCTGTATTAGTGGTGATTATTTTTACAGGATGGGGTTGCTAGTCTCATGCCCAACCTATCCTCTTTACCACCTTTATTACTGGCTTAGCGAGGTAAAGGAGTGTGTCGGTTGGGGGTCGAACCCCGGACCATGTGCATAGTTGGCGAGCGTCCTAACCGCTGCGCCCCCGATGTAGAAGTGAAAATGGGTGTTAGAAGATGGACTGAGGTGAAGTGAAATGAATGAATATTATTAACGTTTATTAATTTTTTAGTTTCAAATAGTAATCTGTTCGTCTTAATTAAAAAGTTTTAAAGTATTCTTGTAGCGTTAAAAGGAAAGGGAATGGGAAGTTAAACACTACTGTTTACAGGAAACCCACACATTTAAACCAATATTTGGATTTCCGATCATCCCATCCTATGTGCGTCGGTGGCGCAGCGGTTAGAACTCTCGCCGATCATGCACACGGCTCGGAGTTCGATCCTCTGCCGACGCACACCTGATATCTATGGTGGGCCTGCAAAATTTGGGCTACCGATATCACATGCTGAAAATTCCATACCTGCACCAAAAATACGGTGTGGAATCAAGCTGTAATCAAAATAAATAAATAAATGTCGGCAAAAATAGGATTGGCGAAATGTTTAAGTAATATGGCACAAAAACTAAGAAATACCAAAGAAAATCTAAAACAGGAAGTGAGGCGTTTAAGAGAAGCTTTGAAACGCAATAATTACCGTGATAAACTAATCAGGAAGTATGCGGGGAATAGTAAAATAAAATAAACAATAGTAGTGATGATAATACTAATATTAATGACGACATGCATTTCAAACATGCATAGGATAATGACAACACCAACAATGAGTAATTTAAATTATTATCAGTAGTACGTTCATACAAAGGAGGAACCTTGGAAACCTTCAGGAGAATTCTTAACAATGCAGGAATAAAAGTGGTTGACATTCAAACCCACAAACTCAATTAGAAACAAGCTTTGTCGGTTAAAGGATTATTCTGTGGAACCGATAAAACAAAACAATTTAGTTTATCTAATACCCTGCCGGAATGATTGTCAGGTCAAATAGATAGGTCAAAGCAGTAGAACAGAGGCAGTCAGACAAGCCGAGCATAAAAACCTAGCAAAATTTAGATTAGTTGACCAGAATTAGATAAGTAATCTGGAGAATAGTTCAGCTATACCACTCACTACATGCAATTACACACAACCATACAATAGGATGGGATAAGATGATAGCTTTAAAATCTAATGTCACAGAGTGGAGGGAGATATCGATAACGGAAGCTTTGTTTATCGAATCAACTGCAAACATGTTTAATAGGAGTGATTCAACACCTGTCCCAGACATATAGAAAACTCTACTACCCTTACGATAAGTGGGAAAGAATAAAGAAAACTATACAACGAAAGTTTTGAAGTTGTGTGATTATGATTGATGAAATGATTATGAACGGTAATAAGTTGTGTTAGAAACGTCATCCAATAAAGAAAACTATTTCACTGTGTTACATATATATGATAAACAAATCAATACAAAATTACCAATCAGATTGACTGTAGAAAACAGACGTGAGTAAAGTGACCAACCAGGCTTGTTCAATATCTGAAGATAACTTACCAAAATTGCTCTTTTGAAATACACTCTTATCCCTTTATAACACTTCATTTAATAATTTATTTGAGTTACACTCAAAAGTTTTCAACAACCTCTTTTGTTGTGATAATTTAAGTGAATGCGTGTGGAGTTGTTGTTTCTTTTTTTAAATGGAGACAAAAATCACTCTCTTTACACTTCAAAATTGCTATCAACACTGTGAATAACTTGATGTAAACCTGATTTAATAATCACTTGAAAAGAAATTGTTGTGTCGTTCAATCTTTAAGTTCTACTTGAAAATGGTGGATTCTATTATTAGATATAATGTGCAATCTATTGACAGGAAGCTTTATGCTTAGGTGTTATGCTTTTTGACAATCATAACTAAAGCCTATTTGCAATCCGAAAGAGATCCATTTTCTTTCCGAAACCACTTACTGTCAGAGTTGATAAACAGACTCTGATGATGAGTACCAAACTAGGACGAAACAGCTTTCCAGTACTCCCCGGCTTTCAATGGTTCTCTATCTAAATGATATCAATCCATGGTCTAACCTGAAGCAAATAGACCCTGCATTTGAACTAGTCAAGAGTATGTCATAGTGTTGTGGAATGATATGGGGTAATTTTAAAAAAATAAGAGAGAACAGACATATTTACAGGATAAGAGGAGCTCATTTTTCAATTTCACGGTTTTTCATCATCTGCTGACAGCTTAAAACTGGCATAAGTTATTTTAAATGCAAATATGTATAACATGCTTCAAAATTACTTCAACTCAAATGACATAGTTGTGGTACAAGTGATACGAACAAAAGAGTTGATAATCTAACAACCCGTTTATTTATAGATGTCTCTTGTCCCACACCTCTGTGTCTCCACTCTGGAGAGAGGGGTTTAGAAAAGGTGGACACTAAAAATTGTACATCCCGATTTACCCTAAGGTGGTCCATAACCGGCTGTAAGTTACTAATACAGAACTCATCCAAGAGACCAGCTCATACAGGCCGTGTGTGACCGGCCTCAAGCAGTTGTCCCCTGTGCTCTGCGATCATGCGACACTAACCCTCTTTCTATTTCAGGTACCCGAAGAATCAACCAATGTTTGCAAATAAAATAGAATCCCTTAACCCTATTCTACTAACACAGTAGTGACACTGTTGTTTTCAACCACTTAGTTTTTCAAATTCTTCCAGACTCCTATTTAACATAACACATTTCCTTCGTCCCCATGTGCATTCTGATTGCAATGCACTCATTAAATTGTTTTTCTCACTGCGTAACCTGGCCACTCTTATTCACCTTCTCTCTTGTGACGATTTGTATTAGTCATTATTTAAGTTAGCGATACTATCCTGTTGTCATAGGCTGCATAGGTAAGCAATAAGTACACTTATACATCTCTGATCACAGATTAATGCATTTTACAGCAGGTTATCTTACTATCCGCAATTATGATAAAATCAAAGTTCCGCAAATTTCTTCTCCTAGTTATATCTTTGAACACGATAATATATTCAACAGTTTAATATTAAATGCAGACGAAGTTTGCTGATCGATACTTCTCAATTCCACTTTTTACTAATGCTAAGAAAAATTTAACAATTTTATTGACTGCTACCGAACATTTTGGGACACGTTATACACATTCGAAAGAAATCCACACTCTTAAAATATTAGTGTTTCCACCGTCTTATTTTGTCCGGTGTGCAATGGTCATTTTTGTATTCAAACATGTGTTGTTCATCTATATAGCACGGCAAAATATAGGAGATAGATGTTCCAAGCAATACATTTATCTGAAATATACGTATAAAACTCGGCCATTTATCTGAAGATTGAACTATGTCAGGTAAACTTCAATTTTTGCTGCGTCAAAAAATATACTCTTAGTGAATAAGCGCGGAGATGACCTTAAATTCTGGGGGCAGATATGTTGTCTCAGTCACTTGTGTCATTGTTGTATAGCGAGTATGTATACAACGGTGTAAGCCATATTACGAATAATATTGTTGACAATAGCGGAGTATCATGAAAACCGTTTGAAACACTTATCATTCATATCTTAGTTTCGCATTGTTCTGAAGTCCTATGATAACTTCATTATGATATTGTTACTTAATAAACTCCCCATTAATCACAACGTAATCAGAATGGTCAGCGTCTAAATACTTCACTCTCATACTAGTGAACGCTGTATCAGTACGTACCAGTTGTGTAAACCAAATAGGATCATTTTAAGTTTAATCGCTCCAATAATCTACTAATTAAAAACCCCGAGAGAATCAATCCGTGGTTCTATAGTTCGTTTATAACCTCCGCTTACCTATCCAATGATTGTAGCTAGGTTCACATGAAACGCAGTGTTATTAGAACTACTAAGCTTAATCGTGTAGAATGGAAATATGTAGTCAATAAATCTATTGGTTTCAGCAAGTCATCCAAAACATTGAATCAAGTGAAAGTTAATCTAGTAACTTCAACAACAGTTTGATCGAAACCAACATTAGACTTGTCTGATTGCGTTATTCACAAGTTTGTGAACAGTTTAAAACGCACGTCTAGATATTTTCCAACATAACAAAATCAAAAACGATACCAAAGATTGCCAATACATATATTGTAATATTCTTATTAGGCATTCATAGAAACAGTGATATACAAATTAAAAATTTTACACAGAACTCAAAATATCTGTTTAACTGTTCTTGTTTGCTTGAATAGGAAGGTATAATTTAAACTCAGCAGGGAGCTCTTCATCTGAATAAACGCGATCACAAAAGTATATACGTCTTATCCGACAGTTAGCATGAATCTAAAAGTAAGCAAAAGTTAGAAAGTATTATTCACTTGGTATCTTTTACTTAACACATACTAAAAACCATTGGTTTTATATAAAATGTAATGTAAAGTCAAATCTAAACCCGTAACCCCATCACACATCCACCTGAAAACATACTGTATAAAGCACTAGAGCTACTGAATCAAGTGATTTCCCAAACCCCGGTCACATATTATATAAACACAAATACTCCTCATCCCATGGATTATATGTTTCCTTTTTTCGACCAGTCCGGAGGCTTGAAAAAAGTGAGCAATGTACAAACCTGTGAGACGAAGTCGGTAGCACATAGCAAAATCACTTACGCCAGTATCAAAATAGCTTCTCTTATCGGAAGGTAGTCTCCAACCTATTCAAATCCCGCTAAGTAACGCGATCACAACTTCCCGAGTACTTCAAGGAAATCACTGGAAAAGGAGAGGATGAGCATTGGTTTCTATAAAATTCTCAAAAGAACTTTAGTGGTGCAGCGTACATAATACACTTACACTGGCTACTGTTTAAGTGTGACATGGTTAGCTTATAGGCTGCTGCACTTCAAGATAATGCTGACTCTGATTAAGACCAAACAGCCTTTAAAATAAGAGATCTACACAACCACATACGCCTCTGATAGCTATCTGCAGAATATTGTGGAAGCAGATATTACATGGAAATAGCAGATTATAGCATCCAGTCTAATCCCACTGCTGTTACGAATAATGGACGAACAATTTCATGGGAAAATTCTGTACAAGATGAAGTAGCCCTAATTAAAAAGTATGATCGTTCGTCTGTAGTACACGTAACGGTTTTGTAGAGTTTTCCAAGAGATGAACACGTGACATACGCACTTGCAACTTTACTGGGACCCACACATCTTAAAAAAGACATATTAGTTTGTCATAGTGGCTCCCTTCATTATTATTCCTTTGGATTTTTATTTTTTCATACTTTTGAATACTATACGGTGTGAAAACTTGAACTCCTGCACTTTGTGCAGGTTGAAAACTATCTGCTCAGTGTCTAGTCTCTATAACAGTAATTGACTATGAACTGGTTGAGAGAGCAGGAAGCGGCTGATTTAGAAAACGACAAAAACCCAACGAAGATTGTTTTGGATCAGTTTGCGGACCTTATGTTAATAGCTATGAACCATACTTACTGTGTAGGGGTTGATGATACTACCTAGTTGCCCGGAGTAGAGTAGGTGGGTCATGAGTCGATGCTCCCGGGACCCATTGGCTGTATGTCGTGTTTTAGTCCATATGTACCACAAGACATTAAAAGTTTCAAACATGGCCAATGAAAGTGGAAGATCTGAAAAGACTATGTCTTTAACTACAGATCCTTGTATTATTTGTCGCCAATCGAGTGGTCTAATATGGTGACATTGAAATTCTTTGTTAGGACCACAGCTACAACAGCGACTCTTAGGAGTTCCCCAATGAGCACACAACAACGTAATAAGTTTCGTTGGCAACTTTCCACAGAATGATTGGATTATATCTTTTTTTCAATTAAAATTGTTTCTCGAAAAGCTATGCAGATAACAGTTGCAAGAATCACAGAATCTTGCGACTCTTTCATGTCTATGAAACACGTGTAAATCCACAAACCTGGACGCGTAATACTTCCACAAAATTAGTTCCGTAGGCTCGTTTCGTGAAGTCCGCGACATTAAAATATACATTATTCCAATCTGCTTCGAGACGCAGTGGCATAGTGCATATGAATGGCTTTACACGAGTAGTGCTTTGATAGTTGCTTGCTCTAAATCGTCTTTTGACACCTTCATCGTCCAATATCTAAAAAAAACAATGGGGCGGTCATAAAATGGCATACCTCAATTTCAAACGTGAAATACTTGTTCAGATTTTTCACTATGAGGACAAGAAATGGAAGTTTTACGCCTAATGCTTTCCTCGGGTCTGCCGGACAGGTTATATACGTATTCCTACATGACAAAATGAAAATTTATGAACAACATACGAGACATTGCTTCCTAACAACTCCAAAACCAAAGACTGTATTTCACTGTCTGTTATCCTTTTAATGTGTCCATTACGAACCTAGTTATATTTAGGTATTCGGAAATTTCAAGAACCCAATAAGCGAACTTTTTTATCCCAAATTTGAAGGGGTTTTGTCCCTACACTGAACAGTATGGACAAAAAGCCACTCTGGAATGTATTTCTGAACATTATGAAGAGATAAAATATACAGCTCCTAAAACTTGGATACAAGTTATCCAAAATTATCTCTGAGCTGGCAGGAAATCACAGGTAAAAATGCGTTAACCATATAAACAAGTCATGACCCGGAGCACATCCGTTCAATTGAGCGCCACTAATATTCAAATAACAACAGAACATTTCTTACGAAATCAGCGACACATGGCTGGACTTATTTATCACGTACTGTTGAAGTTCCGCTTGGAAATTTTTTTTGCCGATAATTTTTAATAAAATTGTGGTATATGTTATCTAGATTGAGGGAAATTCCCACTTTTCGGCTAGTTATGTTGGTGTCCGCGTCATGTGATCCTACTGCGACACACTTTTAGCATCTGGGTTGCAATGATTAGTGTTTCAGGCGAACTGTATCAAAATATAGGTGTAATGAGGAAGATAGGATAGTTAGAGGGTAATGCCATTTACACAAATCGTTTACTCCATGTAGAAGCTGCTTCTTTCGGCACAGTATCATCCAATGAAGACTTCGAAGTCTTGATGACATGATCATGTCACAGGATATCAATACAGCCTATTTTCGTGTGAAGAACAGTCTTTTTTGACAAAATAATTCTCTCAGTAATTGGAAATCATTTGCAAATGCTATCAGAATCGTTTGTGGGAACCTAAGTTATCATTTAGATGTGCTTTTCACTCTATCTGTGGATGGAAAGGAATTATAGTAAGTTGAAAGGTTATCTCTAAGTGGATTTCATGTATATTGGCACTGATTGGTGCAGTATGCTATGGGTTATGTGAATTAAATGTACAAAAATATCTCAACTTTAATAATATTGTGCCATTGTGTACTAAGCTGACTGATAGGATAACAAACGAAGGTGGTTGTCACGATTATTGCAAGTACAGTGCAGTGGAGAAGGCAATTACTCGTTTAAGTTTCCTTGTTGTTCCAATTAATGCACTAAATCATTACACGGTATGATTACACGCATGAGTCGCGGTGATTATGAGAACTGAATCTATTCAGCTTTATTATCATTATTATGAATCTATTGTCTGTTTTACAATTTCCACTAACTGTATACTTAATGCTGCAATATTTTTGATCACCAATAGTGGAGATGAATTTCCCCTGAGATTATGGCTCAATGAAACCATTAACATGTGATTGTATACCTTGATTTCGAGGTTTGTTGCTTAGATATGACTATCAAACAGCATTTACTGACAAAAACTAGTCGGAGTATATCCCAGAAACCGAATTTATGAGTATGTTTTAACATTACTCCGACTGTATGCAAAGAGCTAACTGTCAGTGGCACTCTTCATACCTGCAGTCTTTTCTACAAAATTTTTGCATCCTAACTATGGATTTAGACATTTCATTGGCAACTATGAGAAAGAGACACCACACTCAGAATTCTATGACATGAAGATGTATGTTACAAAGTCCTCCCCACTCACTTCAGATTTAGCGCTTTATATCAGAATCGGTCCCAGAGCAATTAAAATTCTTTATCGACCAAACATGCCTACATGTATCAGTTCACAAAGTCATTTACCACGGGAGTTGAAAATACTCTCAGTATACATTACCGAAAGTAATGAAGTGTTTAGCTTAATCAAATTTCAGTGTGAAGAAATCTCATGTCGTATCTGAGTGTGTGGGATAAATCGAATGGTCAGTTCGTGAATTCCAGACGAAAAACAATATTCCATCTGATGATTTCTCTTTATTCTTATAAGCACCATCATATTAAAGAGTTCAGGAGGTTTCAGGGGTATTTTTGGGAAAAGCGTCACATTAATTCAACCTTGACTGAGCTTGTGTTCTGTAGTATTCTGGGAGTCCGCATACCGGTGTTGCTTTCTTACCTCGACTCGAGATAACGTGCATGTCTATTGTATCGCCATCTGATCTGATAAACATACACCTTAGCAAAATGCCTAACTCCTCAACCTGGCACGCATTTGTAGACTTTTCCTCAAATATTATATGACGAGTAACTTTAAGTATGCTTAACCAGGTTTCCAAGCTTCATTTTTTATTACAGCGTGATTCCGCACAGTATTTTTTAGTACAGATATGGAATTTTCAGCATGTGATATCGCCAGCCCAAATTTTGCAGGCCGACCGTAGATATCAGGTGTGTGTTGGCAGGGGAACGAACTTCGGGCCATGTACTTGGCCCGCGAGAATCGTAATCGCTGTGCCACCGACGCACATTTCATTTGGCCGGATGAGTATAAATTTACCTCGCTACTGATTTTCTCGTTTTACATAGTTTAGAACAGTAGTGGTCGAATGGATTTTCGATTTGCTGCAGGTAAGTGCTATTATGCACGGTTTTGTTTGCTTGAGTTACGCATGGTTTGCGAGCAACTATGATGGATATAAATGTAGCATTTAACGATTCTAACGTTGTTTTACTGAGTTTCATGCAGACACAATGCATTTTTCGTTGTACGCTCTCTTGAGACTGGTTAGCCTTTATGGTGGTTATCAGTGACTACGATCCCGTGAGTCCCAATTCGTTTCTTCAGTTTTGATTTTCACGTACAATATTTTCTCCATCAGTAATTTCCTAGCCACTTAGTCTAAAATTCTGTGCTTCTTGCGAATTGACTCCGAAAAGCTGTGACAATAATGTGCTTCGTTAAGGTAGCCCTTTTTGAAGTTCACCGCAGATATTCAGCTCTAGTGAAAGCAATAAATGTGTAAGAAGCTGCGAACGCACTGGAAGATTTTCAAAATGTCAGAACCTCACAAAATGCTAACGGTATCGACTTTTTACACACACTACCTTCACATGCAGAGGAAAAATATGTGAATGACATAGTGCATAGTAGTAAAACAATTTTGTGGAACTTTTATCTAGCTTATATGTTTCTCCCTAATATTTTGTCGCCTAGACTACCAACGAAGTATTGTTAAGTGTATTATTGTAGTATGATTGAATGGCACAATTACAATCAGGTAACGATAATATATATGCGTTATTTGCATGATATTTTCAGCACCATTATTGTGTTCCACACGTAAACATTGTGTAAGCTATGATAACTGAATTTATTGAATACTTAAGCCATATCTGGTCATGTGTTTTAATCCTATTGTTGGTTAACCAATGTAAATGAATTTAATCTATGTCAATCTTTAGTAATGTCGATTCGTGATCAGGTCTCTCAGCTAGTTATGTTCATTGGGAGGCAGATGTAGTCGCATTGGGACAAAGACATCTGAAATACACTGACGAGTGTTTTGCGACTAACGACCAGATACATTTGCTTAGTCAGTTGTTGTCAATGGACGTCAATATTGAACGTTTTTTTCTGGAACTGGTAGTCATTAGTGGGCAACTCGAAGGCGCAAATGGTTCGGTCGTGTACAAGTTCGAAGAAGACGAACGAAAACGAATAAAAAGTACATAATAATTTTGTATAAAACATTTGTTTATAGACTTGTATCATTCTACGCTTTAATTGCCAAACAATATAACTTCCTTCTTAAAATACTGGTGTTTTGGAGTTAGAACCCAGCTAGCATTACCTTCGGGCGCATTGCAGACTTTTTGGGGCAAAAAACTTCGGGTAAATCTACTTACGTGGGACACTGTCCCGAAGACTCCCCCAAAATGTCTGCAATGCGCCCTAAGTCTGCCCCGAAAAGTCTACAATGCGCCCTAAGTCTGCCCCGAAAAGTCTGCAATGCGCCCTAAGTCTGCCCCGAAAAGTCTGCAATGCGCCCTAAGTCTGCCCCGAAAAGTCTGCAATGCGCCCTAAGTCTGCCCCGAAAATCTGCAATGTGCCCTAACTTAATATGACAAACTGCAACCTGGGATAACGTGTCTACGGTTCCGCAATTAACAATTAGTCGACAATTAAATCGCAGTGAAATCTATTATGTACACAGGTCGCCTCAAAAAACAACAAACTGGCAGTAGCTCAACGACTCACATTAGCAAAAAGCAGTTGATTTTAACTGAAAATATATTTAATAATCTTGGCAAAAGAATTCAAAATCTTTAGATATGTTTCTAAAGTAAAACATCATATAAATCACCAGGAAAGTCATCCGTGTGCTTTCGGCGTTTGGTCGGTTTTCTTTGTTGACGTCGACGGTGATCTGAAAAATGAAATTTGGAAAAATTAAGACCTACCAATGTGGAACTCTGTCGCCTTCTAATCCTCGACTTCAGTCTGTCCCGACTGTTATGGAACCAACGTTGAAGCCGTGATAGCGTTTACTGTGATACGTCGGTCAGTATTACCTAGTTTATGTAAATTGCTAATAGTTCCTAGAGAGACAACAATGATTTTGCAGAATCAGCTTCGACTAACCATCTTTCTCCTATGCGTTTACCTATCTGAACTGCTGGGTTATTGGGACCTTTGACTAGAGTCTGGAGAAAACGTATGTAAGATTCGAATGGGAAACATGAGAAAGTGTCCAGTGGTCCGTGCTGTTTCACGTCCTCACAAATATGAAGTAATCCATGGATACTGTTTACCATGTTTTCCTCGCCAAATAATGACCTAAAGTTCCCGACGAATTTCAACAATAAACCCTTCACGTCATCTAGGTAATAGGAAGAATAAGCCGGGTGACTTAAGATGTAACATGTCAAGAATATATCGAGGAAGTTCCCATAAAAGCAAGGTGGTAATACGTCTCTAAGGTATACCACTCCTAAATATAAAAGGAAAAGCCTACACTCCGTTGCCTTCCAACGGTCAACGTCGTCTAATGTTCGACACTTACGCTGGAATTCATAAGGAGTCAACTTGCGTGAGCTGAGCAGTCTGCAGTTAACAGTGTTCAGTATCGTAGTATGCACGCCATCTTCCCTAGATGTGGCCATCGATTTCCACAGGCCAATCAACTTTCGAACTACACCTTAGTATATGAGATGCATGATATCTATAGGAAAAACAGCGGTCATGTCTACATGTATTCTCTCAAAAGGAGATTTACCCCTATGGAGGCATGGCAAAGTTTGGCTGCGAAAAGACATGTCTGTTCTAAAGGCAGCACATGTAGTAGGATAAACCATGTGATGATTAGCACGACAG